AAAAATGAACTAATCAATAGCTTAATGCAAACAAACAAAAGAGATTAATTAGAAATTAAGAAAGGAGAGATGCCAGCTATCATGGGGTAAATAAACATTTTTAATCACATATAATTCTCAATATATGAAATGGCATTTCGAGGTGCATGAGTCCACACCGTTATTGGAAAATCAAAAAGGTCCTACTTCATTCATGTGGTACAGGTCCATGGGAAAAAACAAAATGAAACAGCTGTGCTGAAATTGAATCCAACGTAGCAACATAGACGTAAATAGAACAGACACACGGTGGCTTTCAGTGCCCATCCTTTACATCCTCTTCAAAAGTGACAAAAAATGCAAACACCTCTAAAGAAACCAAAGGTGCCAAAGCTGCTTCTACAGCACCAGAGGATCTGTCCTTTTTGTACATTTTGTCCCATATCTCCCAACCCATCTCATTTTCCCATTTTTACATTTCCTAATATGCCCAAACAGCCTACCTTACTTCATATTAATACCATCTGAGATGTGATCAAAATGCCTGACATTGAAAGCAGGATCATGGAATCGTTAATGACTTAAAGTATAATAAAAAACAAAATCCTGAGAGAATAAGATATATACAGTACACAGATCACATCTCTGATGGTATTCAAGCAGTGTGGGTGGGCAGATTAATGTCATCACCCCCATCTCTCAGACGTCACCTTGCACTCCGAAAGTACTGTGCTCTCAACAACCACTGTGTCCAGTGAACTCAGTCCCACTGCACTAGAAGGTCAGTGTTTCTAGAGCATTTTAGTCTGTCTCCATGGCGCCACTGTGCGTCTCCTTAGACACCATCAGTCTCATCAGTTTTCCATGGAGCTTCTCGACCTTCTTCACATCCTGGGCCTGGTCTGTCTTGTACTGTATACACTGTAGGGATGGACAAAAGACCACAGGGCACCCATTATAATTAGGGCATGGCTACAAATTATGAGTGAGGTAACAATCAACTTTATCAAATGACAGCAGTAAAGTGAATACAGCTGTTCCGTCTGTCAGGAATCTAAGGACAGATCAACTACTGGATGGACTGTCAATAAATTTTGCTCAAAGAATTAAATTGATTTTATTGATGTATCCAATTGATTTTCTTTACAACTGGTTATCGGCCAGCGTCTGACACCCTCATCTTTTCAATGTGCCCTGCACCGTGTCAGTGGCTTTTTGGCTGATTTGGCATGTTGAATCAATGGTGGGCCCTGTCAGTTAGAGAAACCAGTCTGATTGGCTGTTTAACTTAGTGAACCAATGCACCAAAAGAGAAAGGTTCAGGAAAGCCCCTTGAGCCTGTTGCTGTAGTGTTCATGATTGCACCCATGTAGTGCGGTTTCTTCTTATCTTTCACTTCTCTGACCTCCTTTCTTCATACACAACCATTTGCAACTTCTATCAGATATAATTTTGATTACAAGCAGTTATAAACAGCAGCTGTTGTGAAAAAAAGCTGCTTTGTTTACAGAGTGTACAATATAGCTGATGTCTAGATCTTCTTCTTTCCCTTTCTGAACGATGAATACAGATACCACCACCTGCTGGTATAGAGAGTTACTTCTCTCATGCAGGCACAGACCGTACGGACTAGTTGGCCGTAGTCTTTGTGGTGTGTTCAAGTGCCACATCTTGGTTCAGATGAAGGTGATGTGAGGTGAGGTGACACAACAGTCAGCCTTTGTCGCTACTAGTTCTTTGATGCCAACTTGGTGTGTCTCTGCCCTTATATCAGCTCTGAGGAGCGAGGAGCATGGCTGAAAGAGCCATGAGCGAGGATATACAAGACCGTTCTTTGGGAAAAGTTTTTTTAACTGACACACCCAATTATCAGAAATCAATTGATGACTGGACACTTCAGATGAAGAATCAAAGGGAAGGTGTCTTGTCATTAATAACGCATTTCCTCGATTCCTTACATTTTTCCTCACGTTTAATGTGGACAGGACAAGGATGCCAAAAAAAGAAGGAAGCAATGGAAGGGAATGAGGGCCCATATCAGAAACTTGAGACACACTCTTTGGCTGTAGAATGCACTGGTGCGTTGTGGGTAGAACTGCTGGTAAAATTAGTTAACAGATCGACCAGTCAACAGAAAACTAGTGAACAGGTAAATCTTATAGCTGAGTTACAATTTGCTATTACTTCCAGTTTACTAAAGCGGTTGGTTACCATGCTAATCTGAGAAAGGCATTAGTTAAGGGTTAACCGATGGACTGTCTTTTTCCAATTAGATACCACCAGCGTCGTTGTTGACAAACCAATTAAAATACAATTTCGCCCACAGATCTTATGATTTAATCACATCCCTTACCACGGCATTGTCGGTCACCTTAATACACAGGTTACCGTCGCAGTGTCTGTACTTGAGCACCACCCTAACCTGCGAAGAGAACAGCAGATAAACGAGAACTGTAAGGATAAAAATGTGAACAGCAGTTAACACAATCACGTCGCTAACGAGCTATCTGGCTAAAGATCTACTCCGCCAACATGCTAGCCACTTTACAGAATTACGTGTTTTCACCTTCATGGGATCTGTCAGATACAGTTTTTCTGCTGCACGGGCGAACTCCTCCCAGGTTTGGTAATAAGGCATTGTTCTGAGGAGAAAAAAAACAAGACTGTTATTCTTCCAAAACTCTGT